AGAGAGAGAGAGAGAGAGAGAGAGAGAGAGAGAGAGAGAGAGGGAGAGAGACATCTGTCGTGCTGCAGGCATGGAAGAGCAGCGCACTTCCTCTCAGAACGTCCACTTCCTGTCACTGACCTACAGCTGGATGCACAAATCACTGTGATGTTCAACTCGACTCTCAAACTATCACTAAAACAAGACTGTTATGTTCTTCCAGAACTCAATGCTGCGTCTCACCGGGGCTAGTTGTCACCAGTGTTGATTTAGTATTATTTAAATGTTATTATAGCATAGGTTATATAGTTTTATATGAATATTTTGAATTAGCTTTTATTTTTATATTTTCAGATTAAAATTTTTTTTTTTTTTAGCAATTTTGCAGTGGTGTATTATTTTTTCTTCTTTTTTTTTTAGGATTATTTTTATTTCAGTTTTAATTTGAGTTATTTTAGTGCTTAAACAAAAATGAGAAAATGTTCCCTTGGCAACTAATTGAAATAAATTTAAATCTGAAGTACTACAATTATTTGAGAAAAAAAAAAAAATTGCATAATGTAAAGTGCAAAAAGTGTAAAATGACAAACTTAAACATAACGGTTTAGACTAATCCAGGATTAGGCCAAAGTTCAATTAGGACATTTAAGTAATTTTCATAAATGTCCCTTAAAAAAACATTACTGGTTTGCATCTTGAGACAAAACAAAGGCACTGATATATTTTAGGTTCAGTCAGTGCAAGTTTCTTTCAGTTCAAACAACTCAGATTTACACTTTAGTCTGGAACTATAGGCTTAAGCCTAGTCTGTGAAATAAAAGTTAGTAATTTTACTGTTTGCTGTTGATAGTTCTGCTTATATATATATATATATATATATATATATTAGGGCTGTCAGTCAATTAAAATTTAAATCATTTTTTAATGAAAAAAAATTTAAATCGAATTAATTACATGATGTTTCGATTAATTCATCTAATTAATCGCAAAATAAATTTGACTGTGAAAATACCCACAAAAGCCTATTTAAAGCTATTTTGTGTTAAATGAGAAAGTATCAAGTAGACATTACAAATTGTAGCTTTAGAAAGAAATATTGTACTTGATTCAACATAAAATGTATTACACAAACATTTAGGCTATAACGGCCTAACATAAATTATGGAACATAAAAGAAGATAATTTGAGAAACATATCAGTAACCTCTATTTTTTGTTCATACAATGAAAGTCATTGAAAGCAAAACAGCTTTGTACCAACAGTCTTCAAACCTTCTTTTATGTTCCACAAAAGAAATGTTTGAAACGTCATGAGACGTCAAATGATGACAGAATTAAAAACAATTTGGGTGAACTATCCCTTTAATGTTTTTATTTTCGTTATTATTATTTTTTTAATGAAGTGATACTCTGAATAACAAACTAAATCTGCCAGCAGGTGGCAGTAAATGTCTTTATGAGTCTTTCATTCGATTCGTTCAAACGGCGGATTCATTCAGGAATGAAGTAAACGGCTCTCTTTATGAATGGGCTTTGAGTCATTGATTCA